TGGCCATTTTACACTACACCTCATAGCCTACCACTTCCACCATCCATTCAAGCATCTTGGAGGTCATTTGCAGAGCTTGAAGAGTCACATTCTTGGTCCAGAAGTTGCTGAGGGTCGGCTCTACAAGGGTAAGTCTCCATTTCCCCTTTTCTTGCATTATTTTGCTCCATAGCTTAGCCCTATTTTCAAACATTTCTGGGTTTTGTTATAAAATGTGAAGTGTCTTATTTTGAGCTCCTCTTGAAGTTTGATTAAGGATACTTTTCTGTTTGAGGTCTCCTACATCCTTGTGTGTTTCATCTCTCTTTTAGGGCTTATTTTGATTGATATCTTAGCCTTACTTGCAAGCATTTTCGCGATTTTCCATAAACGAGAAAAAGTCTTGTTTTGATCTTATAAACATGTTTGTTTAAGGACTCTTTTCTGTTTGGGGTCATCTTCCCCCCTCCATGCTTCATTTCCTCATGTTTTGAGCCTTGTATTTGAGCATTTGCATTGGCCTCGGTTTGGCCTTTTAGCCACTAAAATCCAGTGGATTTTCAGTGGCTTAGATGTGCTTTTGAGCTTCAAAATTAGAGAGGGGTGACCCTCTCACCCCTTGTTCTCTTTACTAGCATTGTTGGCCTTCTAAAGGGGCTCCATCTTGCATGCTTTGAAGTTTTATTTCAGGCCTTATTTTGTGAGTTTTAAGGTCTGCCTTGACTCTGTCTGGAGCCCCTTTGGCCATATTTTATGTCTATGATGCATGTGTAGAACAATCCCATTCAAGGCCTTTCAAAGGGACCTTTCATTGCATGCTTCCTAGACCAATTTCAGGCTCTTTTTGGTGGGTTTTAGGGCTGTCATAACTCATTTCCAGAGGTGGTTTTTCCCTTTTGTTTGTCTATCATGTATGTGTAGAACAACCCCTTGCATGGCTTTCCAAAGGGGCTCACCATTCTTGCATGCATTGACTGAGTTTCAGTGGTTATTTGGGCATATTTTGACATGGCATACTTCTGTTTTTGGCTGGTTGGGTGAGCCCTCATATGCTTCATATAGTTGTAGAACAACTCATGGTTCACTAGCTTTCTTTGCATGCTTTGTTGGACCTTGATTTTAGCACATTTTGGCCATGTCTTAAACTGATAATGTGCTTATTTTGGATTGCCCTAGCTCTGTTTTTGGGTCTTATGTTTGAATGATGTTCGTTTTGCATGCTTGTAGTTCAATACCCATGCTTAACTTTGAGGTTTGAGGTCCATTGCATGCATGTGCTGAGGTATTTTCATGCTTTGGGGTCGTTTTGCATCACATTTCAGAGCCTATGTTAATTCCATATTACCATGTTTTGTACTCTTTAAATGTGTTTGAGAGTCGGGCTTGTATGCTTTGTTTTCGGACCATTGAATGAGCTCCATTTTGTTGCATTTCGAGCCATCATTTTAGGCCATTTCCCCACTGTTTCAGACCTACCTAGAGTCGATTTGGGGTTGGTTTTGCCTTTGGTGCATTGCTTTGGGTACCTCTAGTGTAATGCACTTCAATAGTGCCGGTACCCGGGCCCCCTAACTTGCATTGTGTGACATATTTGCATGATTCAGGACCACTTTGCATGCTGTTTCAAAGCTGTATCATGTGCTATTCTATGCCATATTGCATCCCTTGCCATGCTTTGCTAGAGTTGCACTTTGTGCCTTAGATTCGGTCCCTTGCATTGGGCATGTTTGCATGAGTGTTCTTGTTTTCTTTTCATCATTGTATGGCCATTGTTGTGAGTGTGGCTGAGGTCCACTCATGTTGGTGTAAGTCCATCGTGCATTGTGTATGTCATTTCGGTCCATAACATTACGTATGCTAGGTCGCATGTTAGAGCATTGTGTATGCCATTTTATAGCACTGCGTATGCTAGGTTGTATGTTAATCGCATTGTGTATTCCATCTCATTTGCATTATGTTTGGGATAGGAGTTAGCCCAAACATGGGAAACGAGAGAGGTTTCGTACTCCGAGTGACGGAACGTGTCTCAATTCCCGGTCGCCGACACTCTGTATTACCCATGATGGAGTTTAGGTTTTGTTGTGTTTATATGTGCATTCATTTCACATCGAGTCGTGCAATTCGACTCCTCGGCCATCATGCATCGAGATACGTGATTGGTGACACGAGGATCGAGGACTACACTCCCTGAAGAGTAGTCATGCATACATATGTGAAAATACTTTGCTGTGCCCCTTTCTTGCTCTCTGTTGCAGCAAATCAGAAATCAACAGCCTTCCAAAGCCTGGCATAGCATTCCGAGATTAATTGTAAACAGAGGTGAATCGGGGCATCGCAATGGATTTCTGCGCCAGGCAACTCAAGCATGCATCTTTCATCATTCGGAACAGAGTTGAGGCGGTCCATAAGCTTGCATGCTAATTTACTTGCTTTCCTAGTTAAATTGTTAATTAATTAGGGTTTTGTACTTATTCGGACTGTACTTATTCGGACTGTATTATTTATTCGACCCTCCGAGCGGGGACAATGTAATAAGTGTGCGTCGTGTGATTATGTCTTTCAAGCCCCAACGTCTTTCTCTCTTTTATTTACCTAGCTTTATATGGTTAATTAGCATGTTTCAATTAGCATACTTATGCTTGCATGTTTGCATCATTCATCTGTTTTGCATGCACGGCAGGCTCGGCTCATACTAACTACATTTGTATCTCAATTCTGGGTGAATACTTGTTAGCTGTAGATTTACATGTCATTTTAAATAGCCGAGCCTATGTAGTTGCATTTTTGCATGTGTTGCATTAGGCATTTCTGATATAGATATAGAGATTATCAGATAATATATAGTTCTGTTTGGCTTTGGAGTACTCGTAAATACTTATGCTTAGCATCCTGCATGCTGTGAGTGACTGCCATGATAGCATGCTTGCCATGAGCTAATGCTTATGTGATATATCTGCCTGAATGCCTGTGGTGGAGGTTGGTTATTTGGATTGGAACAATTCATCAATTGTGAGTTTTAAACCCACTTGAGAGTGGCGAATCATCTTGTTTCTAAGCCACCTGAGGGTGGCAAATCCACATTTTAGCCTACTTATGAGTAGCAAACCGTTTTTCGAAACAAACATGAAATGTTTTGTTCCAATTCAGGCGATCCAGTCTATACTTGTATGCTGAGCGCATCACATAGTAAATCTAGGCTAATAACCGGAATAAGAATGCATATATTTTCAAAACTAGATATCATGGTTAGTAGAGGCCGATCTTTGATCGGGCGAGCGGGGGTGCTCACAAAGTGACATTCCATGTACCAAGTTCCCGAGCCGAGGCAACTTTGGTGATGACGGACACGTGGCCTTAGGCAAACGAGTTAGGGTTTCCTAAATTTTCCAAAATAAAATATTTAGGTGGTGACTCTGTATCTGGCAAAGCAGTCCATGTTTGGCACTTCTTTCAAAAAAATCTTTTTTCAAAAACGATTTGCCGGATTTGGACTCTTTGATGATTCATCGGTCTTGTATTGCACTCTGCGAGATTAGATACAAGACCGTGACACAAATTCAGTCCGAACTGTAGTAAGGCCCAAGGGCGCGTCTACAGGGATGTACACCACAGTTTAGGGGAAGATAGGGGATAGACCTCTAAACTGGATGTTGTTTGGGAGGAGATAGGGGATGGACTCCGCTGATACAGCTCATATGCTTGTCAGTTAATGTGTTGATATAGCTTATATGCTTATCTATGGAAGTGTTGATATAGCTTATATGCTTATCTGTTGAAGTGTGGATACAGCTTGTATGCTTATCTGTTGAGATGTTGATATAGCTTATATGCTCATCTATCGAAGTGTTGATATAGCTAGTATGCTTATCTACTGTGAAATGGGAAATGTTTAATATGAGTCACTATCTCATGTACATGGTTGGCCAGGTTCTGAGCCGTAGTTGTGAATTGTGAACTTGATAAGAAATGGAAAATGAAATCAAACACGGACACATGTGTCATGTAATGAAAGTGGTGTATGAATTGGTTTAAGAGAGTCAAACATTTATAAATTGCTAATGTCTTAGTTACTGCTCATATTGTGTTTAGCATATCTCTACTGGGTGTTGGCTCACCCTATATGGGGCATCATTTTCAGGTACAGGTAGCATGCCATCTCCAAGGACATAGCTTGGATGGTTATGGGAGTTGAAGACTCTTTGTGATTATTTTGTTTGTAATACATGTATATCAAGCCAAGGGCTTATTTGTATAGAGTTAGTACTCTTCCTTTTTATAACCAAGTGTTGACTTGGAAAGCTGTAAGCCCGTAGGGCATTTGTTTTTGTTGTTAACATGTAATACCGTTGTAAAAACTACTCTGATGAATGGAAATGCATTGGTTTCTCTTGTATCATTGCATGCGTAAAAGGATGGCTTTCATGTATTAATTTGAGGGCGTTACAAATAGGAAGCTGGCCGGAGGAACCAACATCACAAGCATGAATGTGTCATAAAAATAGAGAGAGAAGAGAAAAGAAAAACTCTATATTGAATTGAATAATGAAATACAAGAAGCCTGTATTTATAGGCTAAGAAGAAACCTAGATAAGTATAGAAAATGAGATAGAGATACATCAGAGATAAGTATAGAAAAGAGATGAGATACATCTACATTACAGATAGATAAGTATAAAATAATAATATATATCTAACACCTAACACCCCCTCCTTAAAGCTCAAAGTGGTAAATCAGATATCAACTTGAGCTTGGAGAGGAGATTAGAGAAGCGTCCTGGAAGATGAGTTTTGATGAAGAGGTCAACGGTCTGATCAGCAGAGGAAATAAAGACAAGACGAACATGGCCACTAGTAACATGTTGTCATATGAAGTGGCAATCAATCTCAATATGCTCGATGCGATCATGGAAGACTTCATTATGTGCAATCTGAATAGCACTCTAATTGTTACAATAAAAATTGGTAGCAGTAAAATGAGAAACACCTATGTCAGAAAGAAAACAATGAAGCCACATAAGCTCTTAAATAGTGTCAGCAAGGGCATGATACTCAGCCTCGGTACTAGAACGAGCAACAAGGGTTTGCTTCTTGCTACACCAGGAAATGAGAGAGTTGCCCAAGAAGAAGTAGAACCGAGTAGTGAAACGACAATCAGTACGATCCCTTACCCAATCGGCATTAGAAAATGCATGCAACTGTAGAGAAGAGTGAGGGAAGTAATGAAGACCATGAAACAGAGTTCCTTTGAGATAGCGCAAAATGCGAACCAGAGCAGCATAGTGTGGAGAGCGATGAGCAACCATAAATTGACTGACAATGTGAATAGCATAAGCAATATCTGAATGAGTAACTGTAAGATATACAAGACTGCCAACTAGCTGGCGATATAAAGTGGCATCAGATAATAAGGAACCGTCAAGGGGTGTAAGATGAGTCTGAGGATCAACTAGAGTAGTGACACTCTTGCAATCCGTAAGGCTAGGACGAACCAAGAGATCAGAAGTATACTTGGCCTCGGTAAGAAAATAACCAAAGGAATCTTGAGAAATTTCTAAGCCAAGGAAATAGCTAAGCGAACCCAAATCGTTCATCTCAAACTGGCGATTGAGAAATTGTTTGAGACTAGAAACAACCATTGTGTCATCTCTAGTGATAATCATATCATCCACATAGAGGAGAAGGAGAATAGTACCACGCTTCGTCTTACGTATAAACAAGGCAGAATCACGGGCACTGGAAGAAAAACCAAAGTCACGAATAGTAGAGCTGAACTTGGCAAACCTATGCATATTTATTATATAAAAAAAAATTAAACTTGGGCGAAAATTAAACTTTATCAAAAAATTATATATTTATATTTAAAATTATTGTTAATTAAAATTATCTAATATTGGGTAAAATGCAGCCCTTATTCTAGCCTTACCCTACCTTTGATCTAAAAAAATTATTAGTTAATTAGTAATAAATTTTTTTTTGATAATAATCAATTTAAATTTTATGTTTTAACTCATATCTAATTTTTGAGATTGTGATGATTATGAGTTAATTTGAGAATGTCAAAATGGATTAAATACAAAAGTAATTTGAGAATGTCAATATTTGTATCAATTTTTGTGCTAATGATTTAAATTTTAGAAAATTATCTTGGCATAAAAAACTATTTAATACTAGGTCGACTTAAAAAATATGCCTTGTCCTACCTTGGATCCAACTTAAAAGTTTTATTATTAAATTAGTAAAAATAGTTGCTAATAATCAATTAAAGGTTCCTAGGCACACGAAAGTTGTTTCAAACAATACAAAGCATGGTGGAGTTTGCAAACTTTGTTTGATGGAACAGAAGAACTAGGAGGGGGTTGCATATAAACTTCCTTAGTGAGATCACCATTGAGAAATGCATTCTTGACATCCATTTGATAGAGACTCTAGCAGCGAGTAGCAGCAACAGCAAGTAAGCTACGAACTGAAGTAAGATGGGCAACAAGAGCAAATGTTTCCTCATAGTTAATCACATATTCTTGAGTAAATCCCCGGGCGACAAGGTGAGCTTTGTAATGCTCAATGGAACCATCAGAATGAGTTTTAATCTTGTAAACCCATTTGCATCTAATAGTACATTTTCCAGAAGGAAGATCAACCACATCTCAGGTATGAGTTTAATCAAAAGCCTGCAGTTCATCAGCTATAGCTTGTTGCCAAAAAGGGTTAGAAAAAGCTTCTCGATAAGAAGTAGGTTCATGAGACCACATGATAGGAAATACGAAGACGCTTAGAGATAGGATCCCAACAACGATACCCTTTATGTTTTATACCATACCCCAGAAAATAACAAAGACGAGAACGAGGTTCTAGTTTAGTGTGTTCATGAGGTTGAATAGGGCTAACGTCAGCGATTGAGGAACAAGGCAAACGGCTGAGCAAGCTAGGCAAAAGTCAGGGTAGCGGCACGTGGCTAAGAGAAGTCGGGCGGAAGCCGATGATGAATTGGCTAAGGCGAAAGCCGACGGGCGAGCAGAGGTCGAATCAGCTGAAGCGGAAGCCAAGGGGCCGAAGTCGAAGGAAGCTAGCTGAGACGATGCATACGGGAGCATGGTGAGAATAGAACTGAGGTCAACCGACGCGCCGTTCTTTGGGAGACACGTGAAGGCGCGTGTGCAGTCCGATGGAGGTAAGTCTGGTGGCGTTGGCTTCGTCTTGAAGAGATAAAGAGGTTGGTATAGTCCAAACATTGAAACAAGGATGGACTAAATACGCAGAAATCAGCAAAAACCAACAGGGGACAGAAGCAATCTGCTAGGAAAAAAAAAGTGAGGAAGAAGAAAAAGGGGCTAGGAGAGAACCTTAGGCTCTGATATCATGTTATGAAAGTAAAGAGAGAAGAGAAAAAAGAAACTCTATATTGAATTGAATAATCAAATACAAGAAGCATGTATTTATAGGCTGAGAATAAATCAAGATAAGAATAGAAAAGGAGATAAAGATACATCAAAGATAAGTATAGAAAAGAGATGAGAAACATCTACAATACAGATAGATAAGTATAAAATAATATATATCTAACACCTAACAAACTAGGAGAAAATTATGGGAGTCATGTCCCCCTGTAAAAAATTATATCTGTCATAATACTTCTAAATATATACATATACATATCTTATTTCAAAAATAAAATGACCTCTTAGTATAAAAAATATATATATATATATATATCATTCTTTTCCATCTTACATTCTATTTTTATTTTTTATCAAGTATATAATTTATATATGGTATTGTATATATATACACGTGTGTTTATTTATATGGTAAAAAAAATATTATTTATCTTTTCCGTCTCTGATCATGAGGTAACATACCAATAGGACACGAGTTGCAAGATTTTGTCACAACCCATCTATTATTGTTTTCCACATCACTATCTGTTGTCTTCAACCCATTGTTCTTTTTTCAGCGAAGTGTAACAAACTCAAGCTTCTGAGCTACTTGGTGCATAGAATCCTCTAGTCGAGCAAAGTTGCTTTCAGAACTGATGGCAGGAGAGTTTTCTTCGTCAAACGTAGGGTTGTGTTTAGTAGAGTTTTCTAAATATAATTTGAGAATAGAGCTATATTTTGAGTTTGTGAGTTTTGAAATTATGATTTGAGTGTGGAAAATTTGTTTAGTGAATGAGTTTTGAAAAGAGTTTTGAATTGAGTATGGAATTTTTGACATGACATATGATATTTGATACAAAAACTTACAACTCATAACCAAACACACAACTCAAAATTCTATTCAAAACTCATAAAAAATTTTAAAAAATTCAGAAATTATTTTTTATTGAATATATAAAAATTAACATGTGTCAATTGCACACAAAAAATGCACTGTTCTAGTCAACTGGCCAGACAACCGGTTAGTTCAAATTTTTCCGCCTCTGACAAAATTTTCAAAAGTGAGTGTGGAATTAATTTTTAAAACCCGTAAACAAACACGATGTGCAAATCAAAGCCTAGAACTAATGTTCCAAAGCTCTACCAAACAATCTAGGATTTTTTTGTCGTATTTCAACCTCACCGCCAAGGCACATTGTCCCATAGCACTCATGGGCAACTGCAGGACAGGTGGTAGCCACTAAGACCATGTTTGATTCACAAGACTAATATTGAATATATTAATAATCTCATCATATTTGTATGGTATTCACTATCCAATTAGATTAGTAAGATAAATTATCTCCTTATCCATTGTTTGATTTGCAATGGATAATAAAACATATGAAGGTAAAAGAGTCTTTTTATTTTATTTTCCAACTCAGGATATATAATTCCACCCTACCCCATTAATTACTAATAATCCTACAAATTTGTTAGATTAATTATCTATTAGATTAATAATCCTGAAACAAAATTTCAAAACAAACATAGGATTATTGAGCTCACGGATTAATAATTCTAATCCCATACTCTAATCATGTCAATAATAATTCTAATCCCATACTCTAATCATGTCAATCAAACATGCGGTAAGTGCACTAGTAGTCCCACGTGCTGGGAGCGTTATGAAATAGAGATGACTTCAACGAGTGGCTACGAAGAATCGAACTCAAGCATTGAGCGAGGAAGTCCGAAACTCATCCACTGAACCAACCACCCGTTGGTATCAAACATAGGATTTGATGCCTCTAGAAAACATAGTTTGTTGAGTTTCTGAACCATAGAGCTATTTCCAATCATTTGTGCTTGAACTAAGGCCGCATCCTTGAGCTGAGGACTTGAAACCCGAAGAGATTTTGGTGGTAGTTGTACCGGAGTTGCCTTTGGCAAACTTGTATCTATTGAAGAACCTTCAATTACAGTAGCGGAATGTCTCCGCCCAGTAGGCTTTAGTCCATTCAGTTTTCTGACTACTCAAAACAGATCCGAAAGTCTTTCAATGTGGTGTAACCCTATTGTATTCTCTGATATGGCATATTCTCCTAATAAAGTATACAAATAATTTCTCAAAGACGAAAAGAAACAACTTTGTAAGATCATTTAATCATTGCATACACGAAGACACAAAAAGCTACAAGACATACTAAAAGACTATCACACAAAAATGAGATTATAATTGATAACAAGATTATGAACCATTAGTTAGTGATCAAATCTAAATAAACTTTGATGCCCCGCAGAACATTTTTTTTATAGTTAAAAAAAGAAAATTTAAATAAACTTGGTGAAAAATTTCAAGCTGACACTAAACAGGAAGACAAAAGTGGGACACATACCAGATAATAAGCGCATGTCAACTAAACAAATAAATAAATATATATATATATATTGGCAAAAGACATGTCAACTAGTTTTTTTTTAGAAGCATGACATGTCAACTACTTGAGCTGTTAAAAAAGTTGGATGTGAACATATTAACTAGTTAAAATCTTTAATAAATAAATAAATAAATAACATCTTTAGTATTACATGGTTTGTGATAGTAACATTTTTTTTTTTTTTTTTTTTGGGGATCAGTGTGTAATAGTAACACTTGATAGTAGATAATGCACACAAAAGTCAATATGATTTGTAACATATTTTATGATTAGTTTTTACAAAATGTATCACGTTTTAGCACTCCACAAATTGAAGAAAAGAAACAAGATAATGTATACACTTTACTAAATACATATTGAATAAATGGTAGAAATATTTGATCATTTTTTATTTTTTAAACTTTCATCGGACTGGAAAAAATTTCAATGTACAATCCTATTACAAAATTATGTAAGTTTTCATAAATTTATATAAGTAATCTCACAAAAATATGTAAGTTAAACACAAATTTGCGCAACTCTATTCATAAAAATGAACTTACGCAAATTTTTGTTCAATTTATATATTTTTGTAAGATCGCACATGTAAATTCATGAAAACTTACGTAATTTTATAGTGGAATTACATATGGTGTGTATTGCACACTAGAGCATTACCTACATTTCTTAGGTTTTAACTATTTTTCTTTTATTAAATCCTCGAATGGATGAAACACAAATTCTTCCCATATGTACCGGAATATCCCCGTACTACCCTAATTCATGAAAGGAAAAATTGGTGAAAAATCCCTCATACAAAGTATGCATTACGTGAAGTCCAACTCAAATTTTCTTCATCCATAACACCCCTTAGTTTTTTTTTTAGGGGGATTTGGTGATAGACTCCTCACTATCTAATTTTTCTTTCAAAAATACAAGAATTATATAGATTCTTTCAAAACTCCCTAATATTTTAAAACTTGTTTCTTTTACTATACTACCCTCATATATATATATATATATATATATATGCTCTTTTATAAAGTCATCCTCACAGTCTATTTCAGAGTAAAATTTTACTTTGAATCCTAGTAAACTTTACTCTGATTCAGAACTCTGAATCAGAGTAAAGTTTACTAGGATTCAAAGTAAAATTTTATATCGTTAAGCACATTTATTGGCTTAGAGGTAAAATTTTACTCTCATTTTATCAAACAAAAATAGAGCACATATCAAAGTAAAATTTTTCTCATTCTGTCAAACAAAATCAAAGCGCATACTGGAGTAAAATTTTACTCTCATTCTATCAAACAAAAACAGAGGACATACGGAGAAAAAAAATAAAAAATTAGAGAGATAGAGAGAGCACATATATTGCCTTAGATTTGGTTCAAACTAGAGTAAAATTTTACTGTCTGAAAAACAAAGCATGGTGAGAAGACAAAGAGAAAAAGAAGAAAAGAATATAGATCTGAGATGATAGATCTCAAATCTGACGTCATCAATCTCAGATCTGAAGTCTTGAACGCTAAGGATGACAATGGTGGCGTCGAATGGCGCTAGTGGTTGACATGCTAATGGTGAAACGACAGTGGTGGTGGTGGTGGTGGTGGTGACGAACAACATCGATGGTTGAGACGGTGTTGGTGGAGACAACGGAGGTGGTGGAAACGATGGTAGTCATGGTAGTCGTGGTAGTACAGATGGTGGTGGTGGTGTAGACGGTGGTGGTGGTGGTAGTGGTAGTGGTGGTGGAGAGAGCTCTTAGAATGAGATAGATGAGAAAGATAGAGAGTGTGTATGTGAAGGGATAAATTTGTCACACAAAGTATAAATCTGAAAATTTTTGTCCTTTATACAAGACTTTATAATTATGAAGGGGTTTTAAAAGTTTTTTTTTTCTTTGG